TAAGAATTTAATCTGGCACCCGCTGGTGGGAATGCAGGCTGGTGCGGCCACTGTGGAAAGCAGTATGGAGTTTCCTCAAAAAACTCAAAATGGAACTCCCATTTGACCCAGTAATCCCACTCCTAGGAATATATCCCAAGAAACTAGAAATACCGATCAGAAAGGATATATGCACCCCACTGTTCATAGTAGCACAATTTACAATAGCTAAGATTTGGAAACAGCCTAAGTGCCCATCAGTATATGAGTGGATAAAAAGACAAAACTGTGGTACACCTACACCATGGAATACTACACCGCTATAAAAAAGAAGGAACTCTTACCATTTGCAACAGCATGGATGGATCTGGAGAGTATTATGCTAAGTGAAATAAGCCAGTCAGAGAAAGAAAAATATCACATGATTTCACTCATCTGTGGAATCTGATGAACAACATACAGTGATGAACAAAAACAGATCCAGAGACAGAGAATCATCGAACAGACCATCAAACCTCAGAGGAAAGGCCGGTTGGGGGGGGGTGGGGAGGTGAGGGGGGTAAGAGACCAAAGGACTTCCATGCAGGCTTATAACTGTAAGCAATGGACACAGACACTGGGGGGGAGGGGGGGGGGAGGGCATGTGCTGGGGGTGGAAATGACCAGGGAGAGGTCAATGGGGAAAAGGAGACATACATAATACTTTCAACAATAATGAAAAGAAAGAAGAAAGGAAGGAAGGAAGGAAGGAAGGAAGGAAGGAAGGAAGGAAGGAAGGAAGGAAGGAAGGAAAGAAGGAAGGAAGGAACAAAAGAAAGAAAAGAAAGAAAAAACATCAGCCACTGAGGATGGAAAGCAAGAAGCAAGAACTGAATCACTAAGAGAGCTGAATCTCCTAAATCTGTTTTCCTTTTGCAGCCTCTGTTACTTCACCTACATATGCCAGAGCAATCATTGCTAGCATGTTGCTTTAATCGAGTCATTCAAGTGAATTTCCACAGAAGCATCCTCTGCAGACCCGGCTGCTGATTCACACACTACAGCGCACATCACGTAAGTATAATAACAAGCGGCAGTTCGCGGCAGGGCCGAGACCGCAGGGCCCGGCCGCAGTGCGCTTGGTGCAGGGACAGAGGGCCGCTTGGAGACCTTGGCAGGGTAAGTGCAGGGTGGGTAAAGGCCTTCTGAGGAGTACAGACCCCATTTTCCAGATGAGACTCAGAAAGCTAATAGACTTTTTTTTTTTACTCATTTTTATTTTTATTTATTTAAATATATTTTATTGATTTTTCACAGAGAGGAAGAGAGAGGGAGAGTCAGAAACACTGATGAGAGAGAATCATGGATCAGCTGCCTCTTGCACACACCCTACTGGGGATGTGCCCGAAACCAAGGTACATGCCCTCAATCGGAATCAAACCCGGGACCTTTCAGTCCGCAGGCCGACGCTCTATCCACTGAGCCAAACCGGTCCCGGCTTTGGCCCATTTTTAATGAGTGACTCATCTAGGCCATTTCAAGGCCAGGGAAACTTTTATTTTTATGAGGGACGTGATGCTTGTTGCTTGGGTAGAGTCGAGAAGGTAATAGGAGAAAATCAGGCAAATATGAGGAAGCCCATCCCAAGCAGACAGAACAAAGACAGTACGTCCAAAAAGAAGGTGAAGGATGCAGAATTGGACAGCTAATCCACCTGTCTCGATTGGGGAGTGTGTGTGTGTGTGTGTGTGTGTGTGTGTGTGTGTGTGTGTCGGAGGACTGAAGGCGGAGTACTGGAATGGTTTCCTCTGTTAAATCATTCACATTTCCTTAATGGATAGGGGAACTACTAGACAACTTTCGTGGGAGGAGCAATGCGATTTGACTTCTTTTTTAGAAAGCTTGTCGCCAGGAAGGCGAAATGAGAAACCCAAGTGTAGGGCCTGTTAGAGCCACGGCAGGGAAAGCCAGGGGACAGTGATGAGGCCCCAGGGGCGTGACTGGTGACGCCCGCTGCTGTATCCTGTCCCCACAGGATGCCCTGCCTTCGTCAGTGTGTGGGGAAGGATGGGGGACAATGTCGGGCAGGAACTGCATCCTAACTACTAGCTTAAAATAAAATGGTTTCTTGCCCAGTCTGCGTAGCTCAATGATTGAGCATCAACCTATGAACCAGGTGATCACGGTTCAATTCCCGGTCAGGGCTTATGCCCAGGGTTGTGGGCTCGTTCTCCAATGTGAGGCATGCAGGAAGCAGCCGATCCATGATTCTCTTTCATCATTGGTGTCTTTCTTTCCTCTCTGAAATCAACAAAAAATATTTTTTACAAGATAAAATATAACAGCTTCTGGTGGTATCTGTTCCTGCCCACCTTTCCACATTTTGGGCTTATGAGTGGGTTTCACGCGTGAAAGGAGTGTGATAACGGGCAGCTCGTTGCCCACCCTGTGCAGGTTAAATACACTTTTGTAGGCTGGCCTAGAAACCCATTAAAACAGTATGTGTCATTTGTATACTTTAAAGAAAAAGAGCAGGCTCTGAAAGTTGAAAATAAAATCACAAAAATGAGTGTAAACATATATTCATCCACTTGGTGGCGTCGACTCAGAAAAGAAACTATCGGTGACTGGAAATGGGGCTAACTGGACTGAACAGAGCGGGATCGGAGAGAACACCCACCCACCACAGGAGTCCTGCTGTTGGTAGCGATGTTGGGATCAACACTCTGACACTCTGAAGTGGACATTTGGGATTATGCTAAGTTATTATACAATATTCTAATTCATCATTCCTGGGACTGAAAACTAGGATTTCTTAGCATCAGACAAGAGGTACAGATCAAACAAATTAAGTAAAAACTCTGCAGCCCTGAACTTAAGGGGGACTAGAGCCTCAGTATTGATTCATGATGCAGCTTATCTTTAAAAAATATATTTTATTGATTTTTTACAGAAAGGAAGAGAGAGGGATAGAGAGTTAGAAACATGGATGAGAGAGAATCATCAATCAGCTGCCTCTTGCACACCCCCTACTGGGGAGGTGCCCGCAACCAAGGTACATGCCCTTTACTGGAATCGAACCCGGGACCTTTCAGTCCGCAGGCCGACGCTCTATCCACTGAGCCAAACCGGTTTTGGCTGATGATGCAGCTTATCTTGATGAAACATGTTACCTTGGTCCACCTGGCACCCAGCTCCATGAGCTCCCTTGGTGCTGAGCCGCAGGCCTCCGTGGAGAAAGTGCTGCCTTCGGGCAGGCAGGATGCCCTGGGCGTCGCATGCCACTCAGCAAAGATCCACCAGTGACAGCGAGGGTCTCCTCAAACGGACCAGGAGCCATTACAGAGCCTCTCATGGCTGGAAAAGGGACCATCTGAGCAGCCACATGAAAAATTAACTTCAGTGAGTTGAAGTGCCACTCAGCCAGAAGCTGGGGCACAGCTGGCGAGCACAGTGGCAGGGTTAAGGATGTCTGATGGCTTAAGCCCTGAAGGAGTGGGCCTAAGCTGTCAGCCAGCCATCCCCTGAGGGCTCCCAGACTGTGAGTGTGCACAGGCCGGGCTGAGGGGCACCCCGAGTGCACAAATTTTGTGCACTGGGCCTTTAGTGAGTTAATAATTGAAGTCGAATAGCAGGTATCTGGGTGTTATTTATACTTCACTTTTGAAAACTTTGATTTGTGAGATTTTTTTCAGTTCTAAAAGTTTAAAACTCAAAGGAAACAATAAATGAAAATAAAAGACTATAATGTAAGCAGACTTAATCCAAAAAAGAAGAAAGTCTGTGGTACTTGTACTTTGTTGAGGACAGTAGTGAAATACATGGGAGTGTTCCATACACAGAAAGACCTACTATGCACGAGTTTGATTTGGAGCAGGGGGCCTGGGGCCGCGTTAAGTGCGTGACCCGCAGAGGATGACGGGCCATACCCGGTCGGTCAGGGCTGAGCACTCACACACACTTTCCGCCTTCCAGTTGCCAGAGGGTGTGCACTGGGCTACTAGTACCACCTCTGGGTGCTGCCTGGGAGGACCCAGCCTGCCCGCACTGGGCGGACCCCCGCTACCCCTGCACAGTAGGCGTGGACCCGGGAGTTACCACAGGGATGGGTAACGCTTGACTTTTTAACCGGAAGGGGACATGTTATCCTTACACAGGCCAAGCTCCAAATCATGTTTGAGAGAACAGGCGTGTCAGGCTGGGCATGTTAGAGCCAATAACTCAGAGACTGTCTGCTTGGGTACCAGTCAAATGCCTCCTCTTCACATTTTTTCAGGGAGAGAAATTAAGAAAACTGGCTGGGAAGCTCTGTAGGCCTTATTGCCTCCTGCATGGACCCTGCCGTGATGAGACGGCTTTATTTCTTCTGTGGACACTCTTGCAGGGCCCCTTCGCGGGAGCCCAGCAGGCTGTGTGGGGTGGGCATTGCTGGGGCGCCGCACAGCTACCCGGGGCTCCCTGCTTCCCTTCCCTGAGGCTTTCCGCTTCCTTTGAGGGGCGACTGTGAGCGTGCAGCAAACGAGCACCATCTGAGCCGTGGCAGCAAACGCTGGCGTTAGCCTGCTGGCATGCTTACCTTCACGTCCGTCCGCATCCCCGAGACAGGGACCTAGACATATGGCGACATGAAACAGACCTCCCTTGTAGTGAAAATTTTGGCCTCTTTATTGATCACAGGTCATAGATTTGGCTTAAAACCCCACACGATTAAGAGTCGTAACTAACTACGGGAAACTAGACTTTCCTTTCTGACTGCTACGGGCCCGCAGCGGCTTCCTCGCACACAGCGTCTCATGGCGTCCCACGGAAACGTTCGTGTAAACAAACAGGAAGACACTTTCCCAGCACAGACGCCCTCCACGTCCTAGTGGACTCGCTGCGACTGGTCCGCGGGGCCGTGGCATTCCATCACATCCACAAAGTCTAGTAAAAGCGGGAGAGTGGCCGAGGGCAAAGGCTGCCGGCGGCTCTTGCTACAAAATAGTTGCTCCTCTGATTCGCAGACCTTAGAAAGTGGCAGGAATGACAGGCTCTTCTCGATTTCAGGAGAACTTCCCGGAAGGAGGTGGAGGGCCAAGAAACCCGCCTGCCTGCTTGGTGGCAGCTCGCGAAGGGGCAAGGCCGAGAATCTTCTGGATGTTCTGAGGAAAAAGGAATGAAAGCGGGTTTTATTTTATTTTTATTTATTTAAATATATTTTATTGATTTTTTACAGAGAGAAAGTGAGAGTGATGGAGGGTTAGAAACATCCAGTGAGAGAGAAACATCAATCAGTTGCCTCCTCATACCTCCTACTGGGGATGTGCCCGCAACCAAGGTGCATGCCCTTGACCGGAATGGAACCTGGAACCTTTCAGTCCACAGGCCGACACTCTATCCACTGAGCCAAACGAGCCAGAGCTGACCTTCTGTTTTAGCCTCTAACTACTCTGGAAGAGGCCTTGCCCTTGATGCAGGTCTGCTGCCTGGACTTAGGCACTGCTGCCCCATCTAAGCGGAAACCGAAATATTCCATTTCTTCAAAAGAACGAGGGAACTTGGGATCCTGCCAAGGAACCCGAGTCCAGAACCCTCCTGGGTTTTGAGCTCTGCCTCTCTGCTTCCTCAGATCCTCACTTACACCTGATTCAATAGTTTTTTAAGAAACTCATATTTATTAACTAGTTCTCATAAAAACGACTATTTCATTCTCAGATTTCATCAGTTAATTTAACATTAAATTAAAGTACATAAATCCAACAGGTAAGCCAGTATAAACAGGTTGGAGACAGACGGGAAAGGCGGGGGTGGCGGACAGACTGCCGAGTGATCCTGACGGGATAGCGGGGATTCTTCAGGAGGGGAGGGAGGGGCTTTGACACGGAGAGTCAGTGACCGTCAGTGTTACAGCTCCAGAAGAGGATGCTACAATCCCCCGCATCCGCACTCATCACTGGCAGCCCCTGTGCAAGAGGCACTGCAAGGATCCCAGAGCCACAGCACTGACCTTTCACCTCTAAGAATGCTGACCGAGCCGAGACCAGTTTGGCTCAGTGGATAGAGCACTGGCCTGTAGACTGAAAGGTCCTGGGTTCGATTCCGGTCAAGGGCATCTTGACTTGGTTGTGGGCACATCCCCAGTAGGGGACGTGCAAGAGGAAGCTGATCGATATCTCTCTCTCATCGATGTTTCTAACTCTATCTCTCTCCCTGCCTCTCTGTAAAAAATCAATAAATTAAAAAGAAAAAGAATGCTGACCGATGCAGATATATGTATATCTGAGATAACCCCTGTCAGATTACAAAAGAATGTAACAGAATATGAAGGTAATCTTAAGAATTCATTGAATCATATTGACTGTAAATACTTCATTGATTGATTTATTCACAATACTATAGCTCATACTTCATGTTAAAAAGAAATCTGGAAACAAGAAAACAAATCATTTGTAGATCGGGCTACTCCTCTTCCTTAGTAAATCTGGAAAACTTTTGTACTATTTTCATAATAAAAACAGCTCCACATGTCCACCTTTGTAAAATCCATTGGCAAAGCAATGAGAAGACCCAAAATACAATGTCATTCATTTCCAGTTGCTTTTAATTAGTAAATATTTATCCACCACCTACAACGTATTCAGGGTTAATTTAAGCAAGGCATTATGGGAAGTTATGTAAGATAAAATTTGAAACAATAAGACATTACCAGATTAGCTGCTGATAAATACACTTGTCTAGTCCACAAACACGATAATACAGTCTAGACAAAACAGCCAAACTTGAAACGGTCAATTAAGTGAGTCGTTTTCATTTAGAGATAAAGGCCAGTAAAGCTCTGACGCCCTTGAAGTTATGAGTTGACTGTGATCTACAGAAGACAACAGAGGCTGCTCTATGGAAAGGGGCAGAGGGAGGGAGGGAAAGACAAGTGAAAGGAGAGCCAGAGAGGCATCCGCTTTGAAGGGCAGACTGTTGGCAGTCTCATTTATGGAGTGGAAGCATAACCGGCTGTAGATGTGAGCGATACTCCAGACAGGAAAGCCTAGCAGGACCCACAGAGCCACACGGCTGTCAGAGCCCAGGCATGTCAGCATCCAGGCATGCAGGGACAGGACCCCAGGCCGCCCTGTGCTTTGTTCTGTGACTCTTGCTAGGGCTCCGATGGGGACATAAAGTGAGTTTATCAATGCTCCATTACTCAAGTGTTTGTGTTTTAATACAAATTGCTCTGCAAGAAAACAAAACAAAACACACATTGCTCTGTAATTTCCTTTATGGAAATTCTAAAGAGTCTATTTAAATTCCTAGACTGGACTCGCACGAGTGAGCCAGGTCTCGGGATGGTTTTTCCTGGAGAGAGGGCCCTGCCCCTGTCAGTGAGCTCTTCCTGGGAGACACGTGGAGGAACTCGCCTGGAGCCTGAGGTGCAAGAGGCCAAGGAGCAGGGCCAGCGTCACCTCTCTCCATGCGGAAGCCACAGCCTGCATTTCTGCGCACTTCCAAGTTTACAAATAGTTCTCAGGACAGATGAGTCCTCAGCCGTCCTCGCCTTCAGGATGAGAAAGTGGAGGCAGAGAGAAGCCACAGTCAGGAGAACTGACCGGCCAGCCAAGCCCAGCTGGCCCGGTGAAGGCACTTCTCTCCAGCAGGTCTGAGCTCAGGAAAAACACCTGGAGCAGCCCGGCCTATTGTTGTTGTTGAAAATCTTCATCCATAGACATTTTCCCATTGATCTTTTTAAAAACTATATATTTTATTGACTTTTTACAGAGAAGAAGGGAGAGTGATAGAGAGTTAGAAACATCAATGAGAGAAAAACATCTATCAGCTGCCTACTGCACACCTCCTACTGGGGACGTGCCCAAAACCAAGGTACATGCCCTTGACTGGAATCGAACCTGGGCCCTTCCAGTCCACAGGCTATCACTCTATCCACTGCGCCAAACCAGTTAGGGCGATTTTTTCTTTTTAAAGAGATAGTGGAGCCGAGACCAGTTTGGCTCAGTGGATAGAGCGTCGGCTTGGGGACTGAGGGGACCCGGGTTCGATTCTGGTCAGGGGCATGTACCTTGGTTGCGGGCATATCCCCGGTGGGGGGTGTGCAGGAGGTGGCTGATCGATGACTCTCTCTCATCGATGTTTCTAGCTCTCTGTCTCTCTCCCTTCCTCTCTGTACAAAATCAATAAAATATATTAAAAATAAATAAATAAATGAATGAATGAATGAATAAATAAATAAATAAATAAATAAATAAAGAGATAGTGGAAGAGAGGGGGAAAGAGAGAGAGAAACACTGATGTGACAGAAACACATTGATTGGTTGCCTCCTGCACGAGCCCAGCCAGGGAGGAGCTTGCAACCAAGGAATGTGCCCTTTTCTGGAATCAGGACCGGGACCCTTTGGTCCTCAGGCCAATGCTCTACCACTGAGCCAAACTGGCTAGGGCCTGGACTATTTTTTTTTTTTTAATCACAATTTTGAAGACTGTATGAGATCACCACTGTGAACCTAAAATTGGTGTAAACACAAGGTCTATTAAAAACACACATGGCACCGAGGCCGGTTTGGCTCAGTGGATAGAGCGTCGGCTTGGGGACTGAAGGGACCCGGGTTTGATTCCGGTCAAGGGCATGTACCTCGGTTGCGGGCATATCCCCAGTAGGGGTGTGCAGAAGGCAGTTGATCGATGACTCTCTCTCATCTTTGACTCTCTCTCATCGATGTTTCTAGCTCTCTATCTCTCTCCATTCCTCTCTGTATAAAATCAATTAAAAAAAAAAAATATATATATATATATATATATATATATAAAAAAAAACAAAACACATGGCCCTGACCGGTTTGGCTCAGTGGAGAGAGCATAGGCCTACGGACTGAAAGGTCCCAGGTTCGATTCCGATCAAGGGCTTGTACCTTGGTTACAGGCATATCCCGCTGAGCCCCCTTCCCTGAGCACCACCCACTGAGCCCCCCTCCCTGAGCACCACCCACTGAGCCCCCCTCCCTGAGCACCACCCACTGAGCCCCCCTCCCTGAGCACCACCCACTGAGCCCCCCTCCCTGAGCACCACCCACTGAGCCCCCCTCCCTGAGCACCACTCACTGAGCCTTCCTCCCTAAGCATTACCCACTGAGCCTCCCTCCCTGAGAACCACCCACTGAGCCCCCCTCCCTGAGCACCACCCACTGAGCCCCCCTCCCTGAGCACCACCCACTGAGCCCCCCTCCCTGATCACCACTCACTGAACCTCCCTCCCTGAGTACCACCCACTGAGCCTTCCTCCCTGAGCACCACCCACTGAGCCCCCCTCCCTGATCACCACTCACTGAACCTCCCTCCCTGAGCATCATGCCGCATGGCAGGGTCTTAAGGGCATGTTATCCTCTACATCTTCCAGTACCTCCTCCATTACACTTGTCCTGACGGTGGACCCACACCCCTCAATGCTCCTCCTGGAGGCCATTTTTCAGGCCTACGTAATCAGCAAGATTGAGTTTAGACACGTGAATTCTACTAGAAGACAGGTGTGTTAGCATATTATAAAATGATGTAAAGCACTACTAAGCACAGGTTTTAGAGAAATATAAAACAATTCTTTTGAACTTCTGTCCAGTCCTGTGTAACAGGGTCACAAGTGAAGAGTGTGTCAGAGGAAAGGCATTTTCCTGTGATCACACCTTATACCGGCAGGAAACCCGCTGCAGGGTCTGCACTCCCTCCTCTTTCACAGGCGGGACCAGTGAGGAAGAGAGGAAGGGGCTTGTTGCTCTCTGGACATTTGGGAAGAACCAGGTCACTGGCAATTAACACATTCTGCTAAGCTTCATTCCTCAGTCATTTGGCTAAAATAACTCAGCTATGGAAACGGTCGGCTCACTCTGTCTCACTGGCAGCTGGCAATCAGGCTTCTCACAACTGATTACAATTGCTCATCAGGTTCTCATAACACAGAATGCAGAGGATGCTAAAAAATTCTGGACCAAAAATATATCAAAATTTAACAATCACTGGATGGAGTTGGGGCTTACTTATATTAGCAATGACAAAGGAGTCAGTAACCCTGACAACAGATTAACACAAATTATCCTAAGAACAGAAATAAAATATTTTAAAAAATTAAATAGAGCCTCAGTATCATATTGGACAATACCAAAAAGAC